ACTGCGAGAGGGCGCAGGCCGGGCTGAGTGACTCTCTCACATACACACACACACACACACACACACACACACACACACACCGTGTACAAATGTCGTGCACTGGGCTTCTAGTTACAAAATAAGTATATGGGGGAGAGGGGTCATTGGGGAAAAGGGAGGGACATCTATAATACTTTCAACAATAAAGATAATTTTTTTTTCAGTAGAATGTTCAGATTTTGATTATTTGTGGAAAATATTAAATATAACAGACTTTGTATTGATTACTCTGGAATTGTGTAATACTAAGATACAGTGAAAGAGCTTAGAATCCTAAAACTTATATTTTTAAAGTATATGTAAATTGTTACTTTAGGTTGTCCTTTGAATATTTTCATTTTCTCCATTTCCTCTATCAACCAGCTGTGTTTTCCCTGGTTCTCTGGGCAAAAAACTGAGAGTAGAACAATAGTCACTCATTTATGAACGGAGAGAACAAGTTGGTCTTGTGAGATAAAATTGAGAAGGATGCTTGTCCTTTTTCTTTCCATTTCCCCCATGTAATATAGTGTTTGTTTATATAAGCACTAATATCTCCCTATCTATGGCATATGTAATCACTGTAGGCATCAGTTAGATGAGGGGATGACTGTATGGAAGCCAAACCCCAACACCTATTTTCTTCTTCCGGGGAACCTGCAGCGAGTAAAACCACTCCCTAGTTTATTTTATAATTTCTCTCTATAGTACTTATCACCTGTGTACACAAGCCTTATTTTTTGTGTCTCCATTTCTCTGCTGTTAGAGTCCCCAATACTTCAAAGTGGCACTTGTGGGAGGTTGGTTCAAACCAGGAAAGGCTTGACACTCACCTAGTTGACCTTTCTGGCCCGAGGTTATCAGACTGGAGATGTGGTACTGTTCTTCTGTTTAGCTTTCTCCCCCCCAGTCATAGGTCAGGAAACATAACAGAAACTATTCCAGTCACCATTTCCTAGGTTACCTATGCCTCGAGTAGGATAGTCTCCTTTCTCTCTTCAGTATATATAGTCAGTATTACTGATTTCATGTCTCTAAATCCAGTGATCCTTTCTCATAGCTTTAACAAATAGGGTAATGTTCATTCTCTTTATTTAGACAAAACACAGTTTATCTGTTTATGTATAATTTTCTTTATACTGAATTCCTAACAGATATTGGCTGTCTTTTCTTTAGATTAACTTTGATACAGTGCCTATCATTTGCACACATGCACTTAACATTACTTCCTGTTGGTTGGTTGTCCTTCAGAATCAGAGAATGCAGAGTGGTCTTAGTGGAAGGTAAAGCCAGAGGCTGTGCCTATCCGGCTCCTTACTTGGATGAATATGGTGAAACAGATCCTGGCCTGAAGTAAGAGTTTTTTTATTTAATTTTAGTCACATTAAGAGTAATACCTCTCCAGCATTTTTAAGATACCAGCTGTCCTGGTTTGCATGCTCTGTTTGTTTTAATCAACCATTCTTCATCATTAATTAGATTTAATTGACACTAATATATAAAAGAAAGAAATCTGGAATGTTCAGTGAGGGACATCAGACTAAAATGGATATTCATTGTTTCCATTGTAATACTTGAAACTCTTTATTAGTCAGCTACATCAGCCTTCTTTGCTTTAGCAAAGCAAAATACTTAGAATCTGAATTTTTCTATATTGCTCCTGGTATTAGGTACTGGAGACTTCTTGATGTATGAGAAAGAGGAAATAAGGCACAATAGTTACAAAAGTACACACAGATAAAGATTAGATCTCCATACAGTAAATTGTCTCCTTGTTTAATTGAAATTGTGGGTTTTTAAAAAAATATTACTTGGGCCCTAACTGGTTTGGCTCAGTGGATCCTATCCCCCTTACCCCTAACCAATGGACACAGACAACAGGGGGTGAGGGCATGGGGGAGGGGGGCTAATGGGGGAATGAGGACACATACGTAATACCTTAATCAATAAAGAATTTAAAAAAAAATACCCTCAAGTGAAGATTTAAAAAAATCTGAGTTGTGAAAGTTGTTATTGACTGAGGATAAGAGATCTGATTTGTTCGAAAAAGGTGCAAAGAAGCAGAATTTTAAAATTAATTAGGCAGTTTAGAAATACCCCACTAGCTGAGATACTCGAGTGCCTCAGGAATGAGAATCTCACAGTTCTCCATTATTGGCAACAGCCAAACTTAAGTCATTTTGGATTAGTTGTTATATAGTGTTTCAAACTGTGCAGCCCTAGAATTGTTGTGGAGTAAATTGATTTAAATATGTTCTAATCACCAGCAAATTTATTGTGTCACAAGGACAGCTATAACCATATATTTCTGAGGAGCAGAATATAATTTGAGGGATTAGTGTTACATCTCAAATCTAACCTTTACTATGCAAAGATCAGAAATCAAAGCCGATGAACCTAAAAAGCCATTAGAGCTCCACTCAGACTAACCACCTAAAAAAGAGCTGCTTCAAATTATAAACCTTGTTGGCCATTTAAATGAGGTCCCATAATGCTCATGGTATACCTATTTTCTGAATAATCAAGGAGTAAATTTCTGCTTCAATAGCTAAATAACCTATTAGGTTCTTAATGATCAATGGTGAAGGGAAAATATCCCCTTTAAAACCCTGTCCTGGTGATTCCTCCCAGCTCAAAGAAAACTCAAGAGTTCAGGCTAATTTAGGCAACAAAGTGACAATTATTTGATCAAACTTACATGTTGTTGTTGTTTTTCTCTGAAGGAGAGGCAACCCCCTTCATTTGTGTCGTGAGAGGTATCGGAAGCTCCATTTGGTGTGGCAACAACACTGCATAATAGAAGAGATTGCTAGGAGCCAGGAAACGAACCAGATGCTATTTGGATTCAACTGGCAGTCATTATGAGCTCCAGCTCTGCCTCGGGACAGCCACGAATGAAGACTATAATGAAGACTGATTCAGAATTACGGAGACCTTTGGAGGGCTGTGGAAGTGTTGGAGGGTCTTTGCTCCTTGTCCAGTTGTGTCCAGATTCATATAAATCAATAAAATATTCCTTAATGGAGTATTGCTTTCAATTGGTGAACATATGCTTAAAGGAAAAGAAGAGCATAAACTAATCTGTTCTGTGTTCTAGAACACTAAAGAAATGCTCCTTCACCCCAAGGGTCTGATTCTGCTAATATTTCCAGAAAACTCACTTCCCTTTCTAATCCCATTTCATTTCATCCCCCTGATCAATGAAGTCACATCAAGCAGTTTTGGACATTATTGTATGTTAGTTAACTCTGCAATTTTGTTATTGGTGGTCCCCACCCTCACCCCCGATTTAGTTAGGCTAGCATTGGATCACTGACACGATTCTAATAATCTGTGATTTTCTTCTTGCAGCTAAAGAGGAATTGCAGAAACCATTCAGTATGCTTCAATTGGAGAATTCTGTAATTGAGAAAGTTTTCCCAAAAAAGTAAAATTTTAGTCATTTCTCTTTTAAGGAAATACCCTAGTGTGCTACTTACTGTTTCAGTTAGAAATTAAATGAAATCTCTATATGGACTGAGTTGCCACTTCTAAGGCAAATTTCTGCCAGTATTAGGATAGTGCATTTATTATTCATCCCTGATGGGACAGTCTATCTATAATCCTCACTTCTGACCACAAATAACTTCATTGAGTTTTGAAATTATACTTTCCATTTTCCAAAGGCAAGTTTCTAAAATGAGTTCACTTATCTCGTGATGTGGTACCACCCTATTTGACTCTTAGAAATCTGATGCAGTTCTGATGTAAACTATCCAGAATGAAGAAAGGAAAATTCCCTCAGTGAACAGAGCATGACAGCTATAAGTTAGGACAATCAAATTGAAGCCAATTCTACAACCTCCTATGTCTTTATAAAAGACTAATCCTTCATTTGTTATCTGTGTGTAACCTTTTCATGAACTGATTTTTATGACTAGTACAAACAACCAAAAAAGCCATGTGATCAATAGTCTGTGTCCTGTTATAACATGCTGTGGTTGAGCCATCTTGTTTATAAATAATGAAGCTCTCCAAAATCTGTGCAAACTTTTAACTTTTATCAAGAACTTGTGATGTAAACAGCAGACAGAAGATAAGTTGAAATCTTCCATTTTAGCTTCTGTTGTATGTGGAATAATGTTAGGAGTTTGAAAGATACATTCAAAGATCATCTTATTTTTCCTTTAGTGATAAGTGTCATATATGTGTGTAAATGTTTTCCTACTTTCTTTGTGCTCAGCACAGGCAAGCAAATAAAAATTTGTGAAGTGATTGATGATGCACATTTGGGGTCAGATTTTTTTTGTTATTTCTATGTAAAGTAAAGGTGGATTTTGCAGTAATTGATATGAACAGGCATCAGAATCACAATCTACTTGAATAATTATTGAGAAGGTATCAGGAAATTGATTAAACTTCACTGAACAATTTATAATAATTGATAGGTGAGGATCAGAAAATTCAGTATTCAGTTTGCCAAATTTGCCAGTGTGATTAAGTGATTAGAACATTTCCCTTTATTTCTTATGTGACTTTGTTGGATGGATTGGCTGACTGGGAAGTCTGAGCCAGGATAGTCAACAGAAGATGCTGACTTCTGCCCTAATAGACCGGCTCCAGTTTAGCAAAGATAAACTGACTTTAAATTTCTAGTCTTTTTATATTCACTTCGCAAATTCTGGGGTTAAGCTCTCAAGCGGCCAGAAAGACTATCCCACATTAGCCAGTCAGACCTGTATTGCCAAAGAACCTATTTCATATTGAGTTCCACTTACTGAGGTAGATTCACATCTCTGCACTGTAGATGAACATATGTCAGTGCTGCCGCCAGCCCAAGGGATCTCTAATTATATTCAAATACCTTAGTGGTTTGCCTTCATCATTGCAAACAATTTAATCATGCTTATGAAATTTACTTTAAAAATGAGCAAAAAGTCACTTTATTTTTATTAGTGTAGAATGTGGAGGAACTAGTTCAACAAGATAACTCCAAACCTGTGTTTTTTTAATGTTTGGTGTGAGGGGTCAACAGGAATTTTTACGATACGGTAAAGGAAAACATGTATCTGTATAATTAATTTATTATGTTGGTGTATGGGCTGTGAGTTCATCCTGTAGTGATCATTTGTCATTTCATAACAACTATGCATTTGGTTCACTGTGATGATGATCTATATTTAGTGACTGCAACATGTTTATACCACTGTTTGAAATTCCATCCATGAACTTATACAAATAATGCTTATATTGATATCTTTTATTGCAAAATGTAAATTTAAAACTTGTATAATGTTCTCGTGCTTTTTGAAATAAAATATCTTATATGTGTATATTTAAAAGGAAAAAAGGGACTTCTTATGTTTGGGGATAGGGTTTGAAGTATAAAAATCTGTACCTAGAAATGAGCTCTAGTTAAAAGTTATCCTTGTCAGCCCAGACAAAATTTATTTTTAATCCTCATCTGAGGATATGTTTTTTTATTGATTTTAGAGAGAAAGTTAGAGAAAGAAACACCAGTGTGAGAGAGAAACATCTATCAGTTGCCTCCCATATGCACCCCAACCAGGGCTCAGGCCTGTAACCTAGATATGTGCCCTGACCGAGAATTGAACCTGCAACCTTTTGGTGCACGGGACGATGCTACAACCAACTGAACCACCCAGCCAGGGCCCAAACAAATTCTTTAAAAGACATAGATATTGCCCTAGCCAGTTTGGCTCAGTGGATAGAGCGTTGACATGCAGACTGAAGGATCCCAGGTTTGAGTCCCATCAAGGACACATGCCAGGTTGCAAGCTTGATCCCCAGTAGAGGGTGTGCAGGGGGCAGCCAATCAATGACTCTCATCATTGATGTTTCTATCTCCCTCTCCCTTCCTCTCTGAAATCAATAAAAATATTTTTAAAAAATAGGTATTTAGTGTAATGGTCTCCAAATTTTGAAACCATACATTTTATCAGTAAATTAGTTTTAAACATGCATTATGTATTTCTATATTCATGCAATACTGCATTAATGCATTAAGTACATTCTCTTAAAATTGAGATTTTAAAAAATCAATTGAAAAATAGAATATTTATATTTAAATATCTTAAAAGTAAATCTATACATCCCTTTGGGTAGCACACCCTGTGGGGAGACAGCTATCTAAAGCAGCACTATACAGCCCAGCAGTGGTTCAGTGGTTGGGCATCAACCCATGAACCAGTGGACACCAGTTCTATTCCCAGTCATATATTAGGAAAGCAAAAGTTTTTAAAGACAATATTAAGAGCATTACGTAAAGATATTAGTAATATAAAGTTTCAACTAGAACTTCAATACAATACCCAAAGAGGGAAAAGCCAAGAAAATGGACTACATAGTAAAACTATAAATTTAGACCAATTTATCAAATTAAATGGGTTAACTCACCTATTTAGGAAAATATCAGGTGAGCAACAAATAGATCCAGATGGAATATAAAGACATTAAACCCAGTTTTAAAATGGGCAAAAGATTTGCATAGCTTTTTCTCCAGAAAAGATATACAAATTGATAATAATTACATAAGAAGATGTTCAACATTATTAGTCATTAGAAAAATGCAAATCAAAACCACAATGAAATACCATTTCTTTTTTTTTAAATATATTTTATTGATTTTTCACAGAGAGGAAGGGAGAGAGACAGAGAGTCAGAAACATAGATGGGAGAGAAGCATCGATCAGCTGCCTCCTGCACATCTCCCACCGGGGATGTGCCCGCAACCCAGGCACACGCCCCTTACCGGAATCGAACCCGGGACCCCCCAGTCCGCAGGCCGACGCTCTATCCACTGAGCCAAACCGGTTTTGGCGAAATACCATTTCATACCTATCTACTAGAATGGCGATTATTGAAAAGAGAAACAATAACATGTTGGCAAAGATGTAGAAAACTGAAACCAAACAGAGGCAGTCCTTCACTTTCTACAGGAGTGAATTACTACAAATGTGGCAAGCAATTTTAATAACCAATGGAAAATATTACTATTGTTCCATAGCCTTCAAAAATTTTGGTTAAGCCTGGCCAGTGTGGCTTAGTGGCTGAGCGTGGACCTATGAACCAGGAGGTCCTGGTTCAATTCCTGGTCCGGGCACATACCCAGGTTGCAGGCTCGATCCCCAGTGTGTGGCGTGCAGAATCAATTGATTTTCTCTCATCATTGATGTTTCTATCTCTCTCTCCCTCTCCCTTCCTTTCTGTAATCAATGAAAAAAAATATTTTTAAAAAATAAAAGAAAGCCTGCTTTAAAAAAAATTGGTTGAAAACTTACTGTCAGTTATAAATAAACTAGAGGCCCAGCGCACAAAAATTTGTGCACTTGGGGGGGACCCTCAGCCCGGCCTGTGACCTCTCGCAGTCTGGGACCCCTCGGGGGATGACCACCTGCTGGCTTAGGCCTGCTCCCCAGGGGATTGGACCTAAGCTGGCAATCAGACATTCCTCTGGCAGCCCGGCAGCCCTCGGGGGATGTCCACTTGCCAGCGGGGAGCAGACCTAAGCTGCAGTCTCCTGGATCAATGTGGGGGTCCCACTTGGGTGACTGGCCGGCCTGGATGAGGGGCTGATGGCTGTTTTCAGGCTGGCCACGCCCCCTTTAGGGTGGGGGTCTCCACTGGGTGCCTGGCCAGCCTGGGTGAGGGGCTGAGGGCCATTTTCAGGCTGACCTGGGACTGAAGCTCCCAGCCTCTCCTTTTTTTCTTTTTTTTTATTCTGGGATTTATTTACCTTCTATAACTGAAACTTTTTTGCCTTCATTGGCACTCCCAGCTCTGAGGCAGCTGGCTAAAAGCAGGTGTCTGGGGTTTGTTTGGCTTCTATAATTGAAACTTTGTTGCTTTTGGAGCTGCTGCTTTTGGAGCTTAGAGCAGGCCGCGGCAGGTGGGAAGCTTGGCTTCCTCCATCACTGGAGCAAGCAAGCCCTTCAGCTGTGTGGCTGCCGGCCGCCATCTTTGTTGGCACTTAATTTGCATATCTTGCTGATTAGCCAATGGGAAGCATAGCGGAGGTATGATTAATTACCCTTTTTGTCTTTTATTAGATAGGCTAGGGAAATTAAAATATTAAAAAATAAAATTTATTAGCACAATGTAAGTTATAACATTAAAAACATTGAAAATTAAAGTGTTTTATTTCTCTGTTTTTAATTAGCAAGAAAAATAAGAGTGCTTGCCTGCTTCTCTTTGTATAACTTATAATACAGAGTGGGCATCTTCCTATGCCTTGGCAAATCATCATACTTCTAAGTTTGAATCAGCTTCCAACATTTTATCCTCTGTGTTTTCAATGTTGTGAAATGCTTCCAAGAGTTCCTTTAAAGTGAAGTGGTTTTTTGCCAGTGTCATTTATTCTAGGCCAGCCGTGGGCAAACTACGGCCCGCGGGCCGGATCTGGCCCGTTTGAAATGAATAAAACTATTGAAAAAAAGACCGTACCCTTTTATGTAATGATGTTTACTTTGAATTTATATTACTTCACACAAACACTCCATCCATGCTTTTGTTCCGGCTCTCCAGTTTAGTTTAAGAACCCATTGTGGCCCTCAAGTCAAAAAGTTTGCCCACCTCTGTTCTAGGCCATTCATCATAACCAATTATTTATTTAGTCTTTACGAAGTTCCTCTGACTGCGTACCTAGAGTCTCAAATAGCAGTGGTGTTGACAGTGCCACAGTTAACTGTTTCTTCTGTAACATCTATACCATTTATATTTGACCCAAGTTTCACTTCCAGCATTATCAGTTTAGTTTCTTTGCTGCACTTTTATCTTTGTTGGCTAATTTCCTCTATTAATGATCCATTCTCGTAAAATGTCACCTGGGTTTATCGCTGGGAGACAAGGAGACAATATGACGCTACCTCTGTGCCCTGAACTGAATAACATGTGCAATGTCCCATCACCAGTGGACATTGAAAGAAGTGGCATAATTGGTCACTGATCATGACACGCACCTGTTAGTGATTTGTAGACTGAAGAAGTAGCAGTAAAGGTAGCACTTTATGCCATTACAGTTAATATACCACTGTAAGTGAAATATGAACTGTGCTGTTGAAGGACTAATGTTAATTTAATAAAGCATACTAATTGAAAATCTTACATATAGGAACCGTGCAAACTGAGGACTTTCATCAAGCAAAACCACAGGATAAATAGACACATTAATAAAGGAGACTCTAGCAAACATCTCCCAAACCTAGATAGATAAAGTGAACAAAAAATAATGATACAGTAGACCCAAACAACATAATCACTGTTAGTTGGGTCCTATAGTAAGCCGATACTGAGACACTTTGGGGAGTACAAAAGGCTTAAGCTGCTGCGCTAATCCATTCAGTCACAACTGGGCATATAAATTTCACACATATTCCTGTCTTTAACAGAAGCCCTAACCTCCTCTGCTGATCTGTATCAATTACCTCTGCCAAAATAGTGACTCCTCATGCTTTCTAGTCACTGCTTACATGGAGTCCAAAAGACCCAGGCTGCAGCCATAGTTATAGTCAGTAGGATTCTTGCTGTGTCCCCTGGCAAGAGTGAGCCTCTTAGGAACCAACCGGAAGAGCCAGAGTTTCAGAAACAGGAAGCAGAGTCCTCCAGGGAGTCACTGGGAATTATGTTGACTGGAGCTACTTCTTGGTTCCACCCCAGATATTCTTCTATTGGAAACATAGCAGCACATAAAGTTTTCTGACTCAGTGCATATACCGCATCCCACACTTACAGAGCATTGCCTCTAAGCTGACACTTCAACTGCACCTGCCACAGGCCATTCCAACATTCTATCAGCTCAGCCTCTCCTGAAAACCGCAGTGTGCAATATGACCAGTGTATCTCATAGTCATGTGCCCACGCCTGAACCTCCTTACCTGGGAAGTGAGTTCCCTGACTGCATGCTCTCTTGTGTGGAATTCCACGTTAGTAGAATAGACACTCTATAAGCCCCCAGGCAGTGGTGCTACCTGAAGCTCTGGGCAAACTCATACCATGCATAGGTATCTAATCTTATGAAAATGAAACCAAGATGGTGGCATGGGTAAACACCGGAAATTGCTGCCTCGCACAACCACTTCAAAAATACAACTAAAAGACAAAACAGACATCATCCAGAACCACAGGAAGGCTGGCTGAGTGAAAATTCTACAACTAGAAGGAAAGGAAAAAGCACCCTGCGACTCAGAGGAGGTGCGGAAGTAAAGTGCAGAGGTACGGAGGTGCGCATGGAAAGGGCTGGCAACTGAGGACGTGGTTGTC